TTTCTCCAACTTAGCCTTCTTATGCAATAAGCTTTTTCACTACAATTAATAATCATCATTTATACTCATGTTAACAATCATAAACTTAATTTCATGAATCTAAGGTCAATTAAAAACATTCCACATTTCAAAAATAAACTCCATAACTAGAATTAGACATAAATTAGGGCCTTTCACTATAAAACACAAAACCATGTTCTAATTACTCAAAACTCTCTTAATCCACTTCAATCTTACATTTAACTCCCTTATTTTTAAAACCCTAACTTCCTTTTCATGCCTTTAAGAAAAATCTCATCCACAAGAGGCTTTTATGTAATACAAATATACCACCCATCTATTTCAAAGAAAGCACTGCAGAGAAGCAAGGAAATCCCGACCTCAAGCAAGAAGAGGAAAAACCTAGAAAATCCAAAGTCGATGAAAACACGATCTGCTCAGATTGGTAGAAAGTCCTCCTCGTGGTCTTCGTTTTTATAAAAGGAACATGGGTGACAGTCTTACTTTAAGGAGATGAAATCCAAGCTTCTGCGAGCTTGGAACTCAACTATGGCTGATAGGAGAGAGATGAGAAAGAAAGAATTTGAGAAAATGAAGAAAAGTGGACCAAAAATATCTTTTAAAGATACTGAACCCGAACAAACTGTTCGAGCGACCTCTCATGTGAGTGTCAGTGACACCACATCGAGCGTGAGAAACGCCACATCACTCAAGCGAGCAACCTTGCACTCGAGCGAACATCAACAGCTCCTAGAATCTCAAACCTGCAAAAGCACTAAAAGCTTCGCAAGACCGCTTGAGTGATCATTCCATCGCTCAAGCGATAAGAAAGAAAAGAAATTTTCTGGAGTGCTACGATAATGCTATGTTTGATTCTCCTTAATAAAAGTAAAATGGAATGAAATGCTCGCTCGTTAGTCTCTTTGATAAATAACCATTAACTTACAATAGTGAATAATGATTTAATTTGTAATACATTTTTTATTATTTTTTTAGGGATACGGTTCCTCTTCAGTTCATCATCGGACTAGACGATTTTGTTGGGCTGTGGTGGGCCTTGATCTGGGCCCATTGTGATGATCTAAATTGTTCAATATGTAGAGATCGTCGAGTATATCATCCTTGTAGAAAATCACGTCAATTAGATAACGATAACCACTTGATCAGATCACATTTCTATCATATTTTTGTCAATGACAAATATAATTTCCAAAATAGAGTGTGATATAAATATAATCTAATTAAGTGACTATCGATATCCAAAACAGTTTAAATCATTGAGATGGGCTCAGATTAGGGCCCACCACAACCCAATAGAACCGTTTATTTGAAATGAAACTGGGGAGGAGCCGAGCCCCCCATTTTTTTTAGTGAACTAAACATGATAATAGGGGTGATTCTATTTGCACCTAAATAATAACTCAGTACATCCAATTAAAATTTTAAAATTTTAGTTCTTATTATGCCCCAATACACATTAAATGGCTCAGATTAGGGCCCATCACAACCCAATAGAACCGTTTATTTGAAATGAAACTGGGGAGGAGCCTAGCCCCCCCCTTTTTTTTAGTGAACTAAACATGATAATAGGGGTGATTCTATTTGCACCTAAATAATAACTCAGTACATCCAATTAAAATTTTAAAATTTTAGTTCTTATTATGCCCCAATACACATTAAATCCTAAAATAATATATATATATATATATATTCACAGTACAACTTAATCACTTATACGTATTCTTTATATTCAACACTCTTCATCTTCTTTCCTAAGTTTTAATTATTTTATCTTTATATTCTTTCTCACCTCAAAATTCCAATCCACCCCACCAAAACTCGATTTAAATTGATTTCTTAGTGTTTAATCATCATTTTTTCTTGTTCTTATCCTTACCATTGAAGAACTTTGAACCAAAACCAAAAAGATTACCAGAAGGAACATTTAACACTAGACTAATTCGAACACCATTGCCATAAGCTCCATAATGCTTCTTTAATGGATGCCTCTGATAACCACTTGAAGAAGATGAAGATGAAGATTGCGATAGTTTCGATGCTCCAACGCCTAATTTTTTGTGAATTTTGTTTCTGCAATGACAATCTCTTCACACTCAAACCAATCAAATTGCTTTGCGAAAGAAGAGGCAAAGGACATAAGCTTTGTACGTAACCAAAGCCACCGCAATTCAAACTACTACTTCGCTTGAATCACCCAAACGACTTTGAGTTTGAGCTTTGTTTTTCCTCCTCCAATCTCTCATTGTTTGAACTTTTGTGAATTTGTTGTTGTTGAATTTGTTTTCAAACGACGATCTTCTTTTTGATTTGATCAGTAGGAACAATTTTTCCGTCGGAGAAAAAGATTCTTGATTTTATTTATCTTAAAGACTAAGTTGTAAAAAAAAAAAAAAGATTGTATTGAGAGTAAATTATAAACTTAAATAATTTAATAGAGAATACTGAGAAATTGAACGTAATTAATAATTTTTTTGGTGTAAATAGAATGATAATAGACATGATAAATAAAATGATAATTCTATTATATATGAAGCAAACAATACCTAAATATTAAAGGGTGATTCTAAATGCACACCACACAAACTCTTAGTACACACCAATCTCTTTTCTTGGGGTGAATAACACACCAATCTCTTAGTTCACACCACACATGTTTTCAATTATTTGTTTTTTTTTCTCATTTAACACCATTAATTTTGGAAAACCCCCAAAATGCCTCCATTTTCCTCAATATTCCCAAACCCTATCTATAGTTGTTGTTACTCTTGTCCCAGCTGCCTCGCTGTCTTTCCCTTCATCCTCCTTCTTTTCCTGTCACCGTCGTCCTCCTCATCTTATCCATCAACCCCATCTCTCTCTCTCTCTCCCTCTCTTTGCATGGTATGGGTTATGATGGCGGTGAGGGGTTGCAATGGTGGTTGAAGAGGAAAGTCGTCGTCGTGGTAGCTTGGGACAACAGACAGAGGTAATAAGCTGGTGGAATCGACCTCCATAGATACCATAACTATTATAGCCTAACTCATTATTCTTATTTTTTAGACTTGGATTTTAGATCTCACTCTCTCTATTGGTTGATGGAGGTGGTGATTGCTAGTAATAGTGGTAGACAATGGTAGAGACTAGACTGTGATGGTAGTCGGAGAGGATGTTGTGATGGTGGTGGCTTGGGACAGCAGCAGGAGATAGCAAAGGCTGGTGGAGTGGTTTGTGGTGATGATGATTATGGTGTGAATTGAGAGATTAGGGTCTAGAAATTTATCTAAATAGGTAATTTTAGTACGGGTTAAAAGTGTAATAAAAAACACTTAAGGATGGGTAATTCTATTTTCACACACCAAAATATCTCACTCTACATCTCCTCTCAATATACACATCAACTAATTTTGAATTTTGTAATTTTACTCAATGTACAACCCTTTTTGCCAAAAGCATCCCTCTCTTTAACATTAAAACCTAAACCAACATCCATTGCCACCCGTCTCCTATTGTCGTCCATGACCATGCATCGACGATGGCGGTGGCTCTAAGTTACCGCTTTTCAACCCCCTTCTACCGTTGTCGCCTCTTCTGCCATTTCCCCTACCCTTTCGCTAGTCATTCTCTAGACTAAAAAAAATCCAAACTAAGATTTGGGCCATACAAGTCGGGTTACACTATTACATTTGTTAGTATTGTTTATTCTCCCCTGCTTTGGTCTTGAAAAGAATTTTAATTCATTTAAAAAAAAAAGTTGTTACATTGAGGCACTGTGAATGACATGTTGGTTAGAGCTATGGTTTAATTGTGGATTTACATAAGTTATTAAATTTTGTTTGTGATATATTCATCAGAATTCAATGTTCAAGTCCATCCAATTCTGCTAATAAAAATAATATTGTCTTGTGGGTGAGGCTGAATGCCATTCTTGAGTACTTTTTACTGCATTCTTTTCATCATTACATAAGTTCTAGTATGTGGTTTGCATTGGTGTCCAACCCAGAACTAAATAGTTTGATTTAGTTCTCAAAAAGTTGGATTCTATAATCAAACCATAAGATGAGAAAACTAAACGAATCCCAACCTATTAAATTTGGTTCAGTTTGGTTTTAAACCGTGCATTAAAAACAATTAATTTAAAGAGCTAAACAAAATAATGGCTCAAAAACAATTAGTTTGAAGAGAAATAAAATAATAGACTAACATTTGTTGCTTAGTCTTTGTTCATGCATTTCCATCCAAAAGCAACTGAAGCACTGTATGGGTTCCAATATACCAAGCATTGCAAGTCACAAGTAATGTTTTGTGTCATAACTATGCAAACCCGAGAGAGAGAGAGAGAGAGAGAGAGAGAGAGAGAGAGAGAGAGAGGATGGCGGTTTTGTAGCAAAGAAGTTGTAGCGGAGTTAATGGTGGCGGCGGCGGCGGCGACAATAGCTGTGGTAGTTAGGGCTAGGGTTAAAAAATTAGGGTTTTGATAGAGAAGATAAGGACACTTTAGTAATTTTATTTTAGGACAAAACTGTAATAAAAAAAAAATCATTGAGTGTGTGCACAGAGATAAATAGGTGTGTGGAAATAAAATTTTCCCTTAAGGATGATATGTACTGAGAATATTCAATGTGTGTAAATAAAATTACCCAACATTAAAATATTGTTTAAAAACCCTAATTTTAAAATAGAAATTTGAGGGTTTTGGTCGCCTACCTCTAGGTCGGCTATGATCGAAGTGAGTAAATCTCATTGTAAAATTTCTTGCAATTAGCATTCATTTGAAATATGAGTTGGTTTTTTGACTTTTTGATTATTTTATCCTGGAGCTAAAAAGTCTCATTTGAGATAGATTTTTTGACTTTTGTTAAAAAAAAAAATAATTACAATTTAAACGCAACATTTTACATTATTAAATTAAAAAAAAATTTATTTTATTTTTTTAACTAAAATAACGCCAAGCCAAGCCAAACCTTCCTGCGAAACATAACGTTAGTGAGTACCGTCAACAGAAGTATGAAGAAAACAATCTCAGCCCCTCTATTTTTTGTTGTGCTATTTCCTCTAATGGCAGGGTATAATTTTTCGTGCAAAACCCAGACACCGAAACCCCTGTGTAGTCTGTGAGTTCAAAGTACTAAACTAGAAAGAAGAGAGAGAGAGAGAGAGAGAGAGAGTTGAGCTTGGTTGTCCCATCCTCACAATACAAAGGTGTAAGGTAGGTGTGGTGTGGTATCATATATGGTGAGTGATACATTATGCGAGCAATCAGGTTTCGCGAACCGCCGACCGATTCTTGGGGATTGAGGGACATCTTCAGAGTTGGCTTCTCCACCGCCATCCGACGAGCTGTTGTCATCGGAAACGGCGTCGCCGGAGCGGAGAATCAGTGCACTGGTTTGGTTCGAGCTCTGGGTCTCTCTCACCGCCAAACCATTTACGTTAGTCTTTTCTTAAGCTTGTTTTGTTCTCAATTAAGCTCTGTTTCGCCAATCCATGAAATTTTTTCTTACACATTTTGTTGGAAACCATAAAATACAACTTCTTTTTTGTTCGAAACCTTTGATTGCTAATTGATGATTTGATTAGTCACTTTTATTATGTGTACCATCTCTACGATGAAAATCTAAGGGCCCGTTTGGTTTAGTTTTAGAATTATGATTTGAGTGTGGACTTGTGTTTTGAGTTTTGAGTGTCTGAATTATGATTTGAAAAGAGAAAATTGGTTTGATTATGAGTTTTGATAAAAAGAAAACAGTATTGGGATGATTTTTTTTTTTAATTTTTTTTATTGATTGATGTATAGAATGTCACAGGATGAGAGAGGAGAGATGAGAGGGAAAAAGTGATTTATTGATTAATAGTAATAAAAAAAAAAAGAGAAGAAAGGACTTTTTAAAGTAAATTTGAATTGTATTTTAAAATTTTATTTGGTTATAAATTTTGATTCAAATCATGATTTGAAAACATAATTGAGTTTTGAAAATTAAACCAAACACTACCTAAATCTCCAACTTCTTAATCCTGCAGCTGTCAATAGTGTTTCATGTAAAACACAGCCTAAAGAAAGCGGCCCACAACCTAATTCAGAATGAGGCCTGGCCACATGGATGATATAGAGGAGAAAATGAATGATATTAAATATGAATTCCTGAAAGGCTTAGATGACTTTCCCTTTTTTCTAGTGTTGGAGTGATATCAAGTGCTGAATTAATGATGCACAATCGTTTAGCAGCTTTTGAGCTGTATTAACCACATTTCCCCCATTAAACACCCCCCCCTCTCTTCTATTGCCTTGACCAAAGGAGAATTTGTTTAAACTAGGTTCCGACTAGCTAGCATGATCTAGCTTCTTAAAATGGATATAAATGATAAACTTGGGGGGTGTTTGTTTGGACGAACTAGACAAGGGGGATTGCAATGCAATGACGGTTAGTCATGAGATAAATAGTGTCTGGACTATTTTGGTGGAATAATGTGTATTTGACTATTAGTCTGACCTTACTTTTCTAACCAAACAATAGACTAGTAAATCTCTTAGACATGTAGTCCAATTCCATGCCTCAATCTCATGAAACCAACGCCTCCCTTGGAGTGTTGTTGACACAACAAATATTAGTGAACTTACATCCTAAGTTGTTGTAAATCTTCTTCAAGCTAAGAAGCACAGAAACTTTAAAAAAGGTGGTGTGTCGATGTCGGACATTGACACTCGTCGGACACTTTCCCGACACATGTCCAACACTCATCCAAACGTGTAAAGAATTTAGACTCGGACACTTGGAGGATAGTCATGCCCATTTCTTAAACACACGTGTCCATTGATTAGACACATGCGAAATTAATTATAAGTTTGAACAACATGTAGATAAGATGAATGTTGCTGAGATGAGGATGCTAAGATGAATGTGTGGCAAGACTAAAAAAGACAGAATTAGAAATGAGTATATTTGTGAATAGGTAGGAGTAACACCGATAGAAGATAAGTTGAGAGAGAATAGATTGAGATGGTTTGGTCATATAACTAACAGAGGCAGTGGTGAAGAGATGTGATACAGTAATGGTAGGTGGAAGTGTTAGGGGAAGGGGCAAATCTAGATTGACGCGGATGAGTGTAGTGAATAGAGATATGAATCTCTTTAATTTAACTAACCAAATGGCCGTTGATGGAGTAAAGTGGAGAAGAAGGATTCATGTAGCCGATCCTATTTAATGGGACTTAAGACTCGGTTTGGTTTGAACAAAGTAACTTAGAATATAATTATAAAAGAAAAATAATGTCAATTTATAAAAAAATAATGTTATATTGCATTTATTTCTTGTCTTAGAATGATATTTTCATATATATGATATATAATAAATATATAAAATTATATATTTTGTGCGGTCTCCCACGTGTTGATGTTCTTGCATGTTTTGAAAATTGTCGGTGTTAGCGTGTCCGTATTGTGTCACATGGTCCGTATTTGTGCTTTTTAGTCTTCAAGTGACTTGACTACCTTCTAAATGATAGGTTCTAAAAGTAGATGGGCGTGTGGATTACTAGTAACCTGTTACACGGTCTTAGGATAGAACTCACCCCAAAAGCTAGTATTAAGGTGTGTAGGGGATGCCATCACGCTTATATGCTTATATTACTAGTTAACCCTATCCATCCTTGAGTTGCTTCGGCCTGTTGATCATAACATGTGTCTTGGGTAAAACTATAACGCCCCAACTTCTAGGCCGTCAATTAATCAAAATCAACATCAAAATTATAAGTTCAGATGACTCACAATCTCAAATATATTAAATCGTCTCCATAAATAATTAACTAAATGTCTCACCAAATAAAATTATTACAAATCTCCAAAAATAATATATAGTTTGTGGGACTAAAAAAAATCTCCAAAACTCAAATAATCTCTTTAGATGCTTCAACTCCAATCGCCACTAAATTGCTCCACACCTGAAAAATAAATTAAATCGAGGAGTATACAATACAACCAAGAATAACAAGGCTCAGATAGGGAATAAATCAATAGGATCCAACAATTCACAAAACCGATTAGATCTTAATCAAGCAATTTACCAAATTGCACAAACAATTCAACTCGACTATATGATAATTTATCCAGACCAAATACCCGGACCTACTCGGTACATGACTAGTGACCGGCCTCACCCACCTCACCCAAGGCACAACCGCTTATCCGGGCTATTGGTCCAAGCTATTGGCAGGGTCCACTCGATCTATGTACAGAGTATGTTTCACCGTCATTTTTAACCAGACAAAATTAACACTAACTACATAGATCAACTTCATAGAATTTATTCAAATGACCAGAGTACTCAAATGTATCAACAAGAATGATTCCACGGAAGTTTTAAAATTGACCATGATAACCAAGAGGAGTACAAATTGGAAGTAATTAAAATAAACTCTTTCCAAAGAGATTTAAAGGAATCATATTGTTAATACCACCCGAATTACCTTAAATCAATCTCCTCTTGTCGCCAACACTCAAATCTTGATATTTCTCCATGGATCTCCAAAGTCTAAGACATAAGGTATGTTAAGGTTTCACAAATCTACAACTCTCCGCCTTTATGAAAATGATTACTCCTCACTTAAACATTCTTAATCTAAACTCTAAATTTGTATAACAAATGGAGAGAGATATGGGAAGAACCATAGAAAGTAGTTGAGAGGTGAGGCTCAATTTATAGGCAGGGATAATGGGACAAAAGAAAGAACTTCCTTGGAGACAAAGTAACTTGGAGAGAAAGGAAAACTAAATAAATAAATAAATAAATAAAAGACATGAATAATGATAATAATGAAATGGAGGTAAAAAGAGATAAAACAAATATAGAAAATAAGTTAGGTTCTCATCTAAAAATTTTATTACCAAACAATCACCAATATCTCTCATTAAAATATTAATACCTCAAAAATACGGGGTTTCACAAAAACTCACCCCAAAAACTAGTTATTAAGGTGAGGGTGCACTCACGCTTACATGCTTAATATTACTTTAGTTCTTAGGCGATGTGAGACTTCGCTTCACACCAAAAGTTAGCTCAAGAGGTGAGGATGCCCTCATGTTTATATGCTTAATATTACTTTATTACTCAAGCGATGTGGGATTTCGTTTCGCACCAAAAGCTAGCTCAAGGGGTGAGGGTGTCCTCACGCTTATATGCTTAATATTACTTTAGTACTCAAGCCGATGTGGGACTTCGCTTTACAATAACTAGTAGAACATTCGGACTTAGGGAGATCAACCATATTGTGCAACTAATCCAAGTTGATAGGATTATTTCACTACTTTCTAGGTTAACTCTTTCCCAAAAACTCTCACATAAGATTATGTTAAAGTGAGAATTGATCTTAAGGGCTTATTTATTTGGAATATTTCCATGGTGGAGAAACCCAACCCAAGGGGTTGGCCTAGTGGCAAGATCTTGGGTCTTGGGGGTGTGCGCACTCCAAAGTTCAGGAATCGAAACTTTTTAGATGCTAACAATTCCTTGGCGCCATTGGACTGGGAGAAAACCCTTGAATTAATTGTGGTGCACTTGTAGAAAACTCTTTACCGAGGGCTTGTGCACCCCTAGGGATTAGTCGGCCTTTGATCCGGACACCTCGGTGTCAATTAAAAAAAAAAAAAGAAGAAAAAATTCTATGGTGGAGAATAAGAACTTGGAGAGGAAGATCAGAATAAGAGATTCATAGAAAAATAAGGATATGGACTTGTGTGTTGGAAAAATATATTGTTAGTTCTATCATCAGCTATGGGTTTGAAACTTCGAATCTAAGAGAAATCTTAGAGAATGTTTGTTATCTTGATTTATCCTAAATGGAGGAGAGTTACTTTTAAATTGATCTCCATCCATTAGAAAATCTTCGTGAAGGCCTATTTCTCTCCATTTTGCTACTTAGGATGCCTGCTAGGTTGGAAATAGGTGGTGGGGGAAATCTCAACCATGTCCTGGAATTTTCCTTTCAGTGATTGCTTTGATGATTGCAGAAGAGTAATTATAAACTGTAGTACTTATAAATGCTTTGTTTATGGGACCTGGTTTCATCAAGCTTTGGAGTTGGATTGTTCAAAATTTGACAAACAGTATAAATGGTATATATTGCATCTGGATTTATATATATATTTATATATTTCATGTATTTGGATTTTTGATGATTATATCACTAAATCTTGGGTTATATTGCACCTGAGTATTTATATAGTTCATATTCATTGTTGAACAGCGCGTAACTAGGCCAAGAGGAGGAATCAATAAGTGGCTTCAGTGGTTGCCTGTTTCTGTTCACAAAAAGTTAGACTATGCCATAAAGAGAATTTGTGGTGATTCACAATTCCAAACTACCAAAGCAAATAAAGTGATGTCTCTTCCCGCTGAAAAAAATGGTAGTGCAGGTAGCAAATTCAGTCTTAAATTATGTATCTGCAGTATTTTAATAATAAAGAGTGCGCATGTCCTGCTGATTATATGGTGTATTGATCTTACATGTTGCCTATATGAAGAACTAAATGGAAATATATATACACAAGAGGAGATACTGATGTTTCTTCTTTCTTTAAATGAAGGTAGTGCTGGTCTATCACTTGTTTTAGAAGCTGATGCAAAGCAAATTGCAACAATGGCTCATGAAACATTTAAGAAGTATGTAATTGTTCTTCTTATTCATGTTTTGATGTGATTTTCTAAACCACCTTTTAGTGAGTTGAGCTTGCAATGGCATTTTACTTGTACTTCTTGAAACAAAAAATGTTTGATGAAAGAGAATATAGTTGAAGCGCTGTACACACAAATTTCGAGTCTCGCAATAAAGACGAGAAAAAAGTAGCACAAATATTCAATTTTATAAATATAATAAAGCAGGTACAATTCTCTTTGATCTGTTCTATTACAAAAGAACAAACCCTTTGATTCAATCTTTGGGATTAGTTGTAATCCAATGGCTGTGGAAGCTTCTTGTTGAACTGAATGAGTTGATGAATTTCTGTAGGTCTTCCAATACAGAAACTTAAAGAAAAGAGGCTTGATCTCGGGCTTGAATTGCTTGATCTCAAACAAACTTCGAAACGATCTCTTTGATTAGAGATCAAATTTGTAGCTTTAAATTATGGGTCAGGACACATAAAGCAAATTTGTAACTTGAAAGGATTGGTGCATGTTTGGAGTGCTTGATAATCCTTCACTTGAGTTTTGAAGAACTTTAGAGATAATTTTTTGAATAGAGATTTTGGCAGAGTCTTGAGAATGCTTTAGATATTGCCAGATCTTAGCCAAAAGGTCCCTTCTTCCTAATGGGGGCCTCTATTTATAGGCTTGAAGGAGTGTTAATTTTGGAAATTCCATTATAATAATATTCAATTTTGATTTACTTTCCCTAATAAGAGAAATTTGCCTCTTATTTTATGGAAATTATTTGAATTTGAATTTAAATTATGATTCCTCCATCAAATTTTGACAATTGTTGGCCTTTGGGTTGAAATAATTGTTTGATCCAATTGTCAAAACGGATTGACATTTTTCTGTTTGACTCATAATTTAAAATAGGTTAAGGTCCATAATTTTGGTGAGACCCACATCCATTTGAAGACTTCGACCATCTTCCTAGTCAAGAACATTTTATATGGTGACTAAAGCACATGCAAAATTTTAGTGTCTACAAGTGCGTCAGCTATAATTCTACAGTGAAGGTGCAAGATTAATTATAATTTAATCAGAGTTATTTTCCATGTAGTAGAACATTTACATCCATCTACCTTGTTCGGCATGAGGTTACCAGGCTAAAATAGCCACAAAAAGACAAAATATGCTAAAAAGCCAATACACAAAATGTCACATCCAAATCATAATTATTTCATTTTTTTTTCCCACAAAAGTCAAAAAAGCCAAAAAGCCCAACCCAAATGAGGTTTTTTAACCCCAGGCTAAAATAGCCAAAAAGCCAACCCACTTCCCAAACGAAGTCTTAGTTTGGGGTTTTCTCTTGCTTTACCTACAGGAAAATACCTTTTGCTTTCAAGGTAATTATTAGTTAATATTACTTTAGTAGATTCTTTTTGCTTTGAATGTTTGGGGTGAATTCTGTAACTCCAAAGCATGGTAGATATCTCATTGTTCAATTTGGCATTGTGGCCTCATATAAAATGCATTATGTTAGATCACTGGACAATCTTTGTGCTGACTTTAACACAAATGTGATTTGGTGGCCAAAGTTGTAATTTTTGAAAGGTAGATAAATGCAATTTGGTTAAACAGGTATTCAAGTGAATTTTAAAGAGAACTACTTGGTATAATCACAGAGAAGAACCAAATTCGCAGGGTAAGGTATAGGTTATTCTATCAACCAAAAAAAAGTAATGGAGGTAGATAAATGCAATTTAGTTATACAGGTATTCAAGTGAATTTTAAAGAGAACTACTTGCTATAACTAGAGAGAGGAACCAAATTTGCAGGGTAAGGTATAGGTCATTCTATCAACCAAAAAAATGCAATGTGTCTTGTTAATTGGTATAACAATCAAATATTCTTTTGGGTGAATTTCATTAACACCATCTAAGATTTCTAACAATTGCAAGGACACCCCCCAGATTTATGAAATAACATTGCCCCGTCAATATTTGTTGGCTGACAGTTGTAATTTTATTGTTTTGTCCTTTTACAAATTAGTGTTTCCTTTGTGTTTCTGTTGGTACTCTTATCTTTGTAGCCAAACAAAAGATAAAACCAACTTTTGTCATTGGCCAACCATGCCACACCTCCTCTGCACCTATCACTACCGGCAACATGAACCCACGACATTCTCTTAGATCAAACCCACATGTTGAACCTTGTGAAAAATCCACATATCATATATAATTAAATTCATGGTCAATGATTTCCTTTTTCTTTCTATTTGGTACTCCATATCAAACAAAGAGAGAACTATGTGGCCATCCAGGTGTACGATGGTGGGAGTGGGGTTTTGATTTGGTGTAGTGGACTTCACTCTTTTTGATATAGGAGGATGATACGACAAAATGTTATTAGGAGTTATTTAAAAAAATAAAAAAAGTAAAAATTTATGGGTACATAAAGCTTATTCGAGTCATTTTAATTAAATTCATTAGATAAAGGTAAAATCATAATTTTAAAGTTTATGACAATGATGTCATCTTTCTCTATGTTATCAATGGTTGTGTTTTTACACATTGTTAGGCAAAGGGACGTACTATAATTTCAAAAACTTGTGAGTGTGAGGTGTTAGTGTAATGTACCTTATTTTTTTATATGTTATTTGCTAAGCTTAATTTATTTATAATCATAAATAAAAATTTCTGAACTATACAAAATTGGTACTTGTAGACTAGTTGTAGGTTTGGATATCTTCTTGTATCAAAATGGTAGACCTCTGTGAAGAATTCAATTGTCAATATCATTCAGGTGGCAATACGTATGCCATTTGGCACTTGGTCGTAACGAGTGGTTATAGTCATGCCACTTGTTATTTGTTATTCAGCATGTCAGCCACCTGCCAGTTTATAGTTATTTATTAGTTTGTTTATTCAGGTACTTCACTATGAAGAGATCTCCTCAAATCTTAGGACTGTAATCTCTGTTTTGAAGGAGAATTTTTGGAAAATAAAACTTCAGATTTTATAATTTCTTGTCCTCATATTTCCCTAGCTTTTAGGGAATTTGAGTGTTGTTTAGTGGAAATTGCAACTACCGGACTTAAAATCTGATTTTGCCTAGTGTTATTTGGGTCCACCTTTTATTGTAGATGTTGAAACCTCAAACCAACTACATCACTCACATAATGATGGGCCTTGTTGAACAATTTCATTACCCTATAGCAAGTTCGGTTCAGTAAGATATCACATTAAGAGCATAAACATTAGGAGAGAAAAAAAGAAAAGAAAAGAAAAGAAAAGAACTGAATATTCATTACTTTAATTAGTGTTTGCCTACTTTTTGAAAATTTAAAAGGTAAACAACCATCTAACTGCTGTCAATGTTTCACTTAACCACTTCATAGGGTTTAAAAAAGTTGATATTCTTTTGAGAAGAAAAGATAACACAAGGTTTGACTTGAGTATTATTTTATACAAGCTTTTGCTTATAAAAATGTTACACAAGCTTGAATTATGATTTATGAGTTAGATGTTTAAGTTTATGTGAATCTTGAATTATTTATCTGCTACAATAAAATATTGGTGTTTATTGGTATTTATGTTATAAAATATTTAATATTTCATTTTACTTATATAGAACCTTGAATTATTTGCCTATATTAAGTATCTATTTTTTATTGTCATTGCTCCTAGGTCCTAGAAAACCTTGGCGTTTCAGTGTGCCTATTGCCTTTAATAACACTAAATGTTAGAATGCCGCTCTATGGGCTTCTCATTATTAAAATTCGAGGTGGCTCTTTTTGATTAATCATTGTTATTTGTGTTGAATATGGAGAATACTAAACGTTACACATCAAAAACTAAATGTAATGGTCTATAACTATGAAGCACGGGCACACCGGAATAGGTGCTGTAGCGGTGTTGGACACGGGACATGTCGGGGACACGTACGGAACACACCATTTGGCGTGTGCCTTTAATTTTGTTATTTTTTTGAAAAGGGACACGCTTGGGACATGCCAGGACACACCAGGGACACATGTGTCCAGAATCAACCCATAAAAAGTGCAGAAATTTGGCCCTAAATCTCAAAATCAGAACATAAAGAGAACAGAAGAAGAAGAAGAAGAAGAAGAAGTTGCTTATCTGGTTCGTCGAGCAATCCAAAAGATGAAGAAGTTCTGGCCTCTCGATTCGGTCAAGTGAGTTTCGCCTCGTTGCCTCTCACTCTCGTCTCTCTTCTGTCTCTCGCCTCTGACCTCTCTCTCTCTCTCTCTCTCCTCTCTTCCCCTTTTTTTTTTTATTTTTTTATTTTTATTTCTGCTTACCGGATTTATACACCTCTCTCTCTCTCTCTCTCTCTCTCTCTCTATATATATATATATATTTATATTTATGTATTTTATATTTTATATTTTTCTATTAATTTTTTCCTTATAAGTTTATATATTTTTCTATATTTATAATTATTTTAATATATTTTTTAATTTATTTATTTATTTTTTTTACCTGTATAAATATAAATGTAGTGATTTATATGTATATATATATATTAAATTAATGTAATTTTTTATTAATTTTGATTGTTTGGTAACATAATATTAATCTACGTAGCAAATATATATAAGTAAAAAATAAAAGAATTGCCGTGTCCCCTGCCGCGTCTGTGTCCCAATTTTTTTGAAATCATCGTGCCCATGTCTGTGTCCGTATCCATATCCATGTCTGTGTCCGTGCTTCATAGGTCTATGGCCCTTTTTAAATGACTACTGAGCTTTCATCTCTTTCTATCTTTGTTGAACTTGTACAAGTACAGATGGTTTCATGGAGTAAATCCAGATGATATTTACACGGGGGTGGCACTGGCATCCATTAATTTTAAAGGTGTTCTCTACTTTATGTGCAAATGGTAACCTTATATGGCAATCTAAATAATTTTGACATATCAATTGATTGAGGCCCTCTGTGAATAATTACTCTTTGTAGTTTATACTTAATTAGGATCTGCAATATGTAGTTCTATTGTGTTGTCTTTCTTCTTAAATGAATGTGAGGCATATACATTTTGGATCAATCCTTGCTTTCAAATTAGGGATTTGTCCATTGTAAATGTTATTAGAGATTTACATCTATTCGAATGCCTTGGATTATTACACTCCCCATCAGTAAACTGTATGGATAGTCCGTATATCAATAAATATTTGTCCAGACTCCAGCCATGAGGTTGGTTGTTTTGTTTCTGTTATCTTGTTCGAAGACACTTTGTCTACACAATTGGCAATTGTTTGTTCATGCGTTGTGGAACTGTCATTTCTTCACTTTTCTGAAAATTTAATAGATGATGAGTTGTATGTTATTTTGTATTTTGTGTAATCCATTCCTTCTTGAATTTTCTTCCGAATTTGTTATATTATATAGCTGATCCCAAACTTATGGACATGTCCTTTTACATCAACAACCTTCTCAGTTTTCATTTTTCAGCACTTACAGGTTAGAATTATGGTTCATATATACTTGGCTTGGTGTAATCGTATCAACTTTTATTTTCTATTTTGTTCAATTAGGGATGGTCCATTATTGGTGGTTGCATCATGCTGGGATGCTATCTCTGTTGCAAGTTGCATAAAACGGTTAGCTCCGGAAAAAATCTTTGTTGTTCAGGTTTGAGAGGAGAACTTAAATTTGAAAGTATGACTCTCGGCATTATGTATTCTGAAATATGAAAATGTAAAAGTAACTAATGCTAAATATCAATTTATGTGGCATATACATATAAGTTGGTGTTGTCATGATTACATGATTCTAAAATAACTTTCTTATTGGTTTTTTAGATGCTTGTCGCTTATTACCTCCCGTGTGAGTATTTGAGGCATTAGTCTTGAGTTATAGCTTAGGTTATTGAACCAACTTTCATTTTAAACATTGTAAAGAAATTCCATTTTCTATTTACTTGCTACTGTTTGCTTTTTGGAAAAGAATGTAATGTTACTGGGCAATGTTGCAGAATTTTGGCAATAAACTCATTATGGCAAAATCATTTTGCATTTTGTTTATCTGCCATTGATTATTTTATTTATGTATGCAATTATTGGTTCATACAGTTAATTCTTTTGCAATATGTTTAGATACAGCATCCCAGATCACAGCTAAATCAGTTCAATCTGGTGATTACTCCTCGCCATGATTATTACCCATTAACTCCTGAAGGACAGGAACAGATCCCATGGTTTCTTCGGAGGTGGATAACTCCTCGTGAACCTCCTGACAGACATGTGGTATGTTTCTCAGCTATAAAACATTTGCCTCAGTGAGTTCACTCATTTAAAAACCCTTGGTGGATGTTAATTGTCATTTACGCGCAAGTGCTGAAAACATACAAGAAGCTTACTGCTTTTAAAAATTGAACCTCAGGTCCTCACTGTGGGAGCTCTTCATCAGGCTGACTCTACCGCTTTACAGGTTGCTGCTTGTGCCTGGCATGATGAGTTGGCTCCTTTGCTGAAACCCTTGCTCGTGGTTAACATTGGAGGGCCTACAAGTAATTTGTGCAATTAAAACTTTAATAGTTACTACTCATTTATGTTTCTATCTAAGAGGCTGATTATGTTAGAACTCTATGCTTCCTGATGTTAAATGATTGATGCTTAATAAATTACGAATTGTAAAATATATAATTATCCAAGCTGGAAACATCTGGTGGAAGGAGATTCGCCACATGCTTATAATATAGGGCAAACTTCATTTTACCCCTTGTGGTTTGGGTTATGTGTGGTTTACCCCCCTAATGTTTGGAAATGACCACATAAACCCCACGTGGTTTGTGGACCAAATTGCACTATCCACTTTTCCATCTAAGTTAACTGGATGTGAGGTTCACATGCTCATGAAGAGAGTGAACTATATTTTACGATCAGAATACCCCTTGCATATCTTTAAATTTTCAAAAGCATGCTGTGAGTGCCGTGTCTTTTTTGAGTCTAAGGCATGCATCCCACACCGACAACAAAGAGTCGCCACTTAATTTTTAAAGGGGAATTAAGAAACCTTTAACAATGAAAACTAAGTTAAGGACCAGTCCATCACAGCCAAGAATAGTTCGGATTTAGGAGCTTAGGTACAAGAGGAGAAGGTTATTGAATGATAGCATCCCCTCTTGCCCAATCCGAAGATTGGCCTCTACTCACTTTCTAATTCATGATTTTAGTAGTTAATTATTCACACAAGTTCATTTTAAGCCTAAAAACCTTTAACACGAGTTAATTTTAAGCCTACAAACCTTTAACTAATCCTAAAACTATGTGATCTGAATAAGAAGTGAATGTTACCCATCTTAGATTGAAAGAACAATGCCATACTTAAAAGTGAAGATTTTCCATTAAAAAGGATATTTTAATTTATTTTATGGCAATGAACTCAAACTAAGATAGGCAATATTCACAAAAACATTCAAAACATACAATTTTGAATAGAAAACATTTAACTTGCATTATTTAAAAGATGATGCAAGAAGCAAACACATGCTAAGGAGGGAGAGAGGACTTACCCGATCGTCCACTTTCAGCGTCTTTCATGCAATACATAAAGTAAATATGATCTGCAATGCAACTAACACATACAAGATGCAACCTAGGCCTGGTTTGAAGTTACTATATGATGAATATGCACAAAAGGAGCACTAACAAATGAAAACAAAATATAAACTAAACTACATAATGATTCAAACCGGGCCATGCATGCTGATTATATGATTAAAATAGATTTAAGAACATGTTGTTCTAACAAGATAAATAAAGCATGCAAGAGAGAGGTGAGAAAGTGAATAAACCAAATGACTACATGATGAGATGATGGCCTAACACCCTAGCATGAAGGAATACTAAAAAGTAAAGCCTACAGATACTGAAATATAAAAGGTAAAAGTGTTTTTAATTGCTAGTTTCCTTAAACTGAAGAAAACACGAAGAAGGTAGCTAGAAAAGCTGAGTTTCTTGCTTGCAAGCCTCCCTCAAGCTTGGATTCTGAGTTAGGGTTCAAGTTCTTCTATCCTTGGGGGTATTTTTCAGAGGTTTAGAGTTGCTATAGGGGTGTGTGTTTCAGAGCTAAGGAAAAGGGGGCGAGAAAGTGGGTGATTTTGGTCTCAAAAGCTCACAAAAGTTCAAATTTCTTAACCCCCTTGAAAGGGAGGGGGAGGGGGGCTCCTTATATAGGTTTGAGGGGGAGCGGAGAGCAAGCTAGGGCAACCCCCATCGCTTCCTCTGTCGCCTCCCTTAAAAAATGCACAAAGATTGAGTTTCTAAAAATAACTTTGTCATGCTTGGATATGCACATGCACCATTCTTGTGCGCAAGCACGAGGCAAGTGCGCACGCACCCTTTGCCATGGTACACGTGTCATCCCTGTATGCATTCCATGATCTTGGCTTGCTTGTGGCCCAAGTAAGTCCGTAGTGCCTTCTAATTAATTTTTTTGATAAAATGAGTTACTAATTTTGAAAAATACGTTTGATCAAAGGAAAACCAGGCTTTCCTCTTTTTCTCGGGGTTAAGAAATTAATTTTTTGGCTAAAAATATGTTCAGGGGCAAAATGGTCATTTTTGTAAAAAATTCTATTTTTGTCCAAAACGGGTTTATATAGCAATTCTGGACATCCTTAATCATTCTAAAGATGATGTTAAGTACCATTTCATCATCGGGAGGCTTGCAAGCATCCGAAGTCTTAGAGTTAGTCAAAATGGGATAGCTACACATGCCATTTTTCTTCCTCTCTACTATTTCTCTTTCTATTCCTTAACTCCAACCCATTGTACCACACCAACTTCCTCTTCCCTATTAACTCTCTAAAATTACTAACTTACCATTCCTCTATCTTCCACTTCCACTTGTACCCTCCATTTTTAAACGAAAAATACAGAAAGATCCAAAGAAAGCCTCGCTCTTTGTTTCATCTTCTTCCCCCAACTCAACAATTCACAGGTCAACCACTTTTCCCGCCATTAGTACCACCTTATCTTCATCATCCCTCTCCTCCTCTCTCTCCATTTGTCATCACTGTACAGTGCTCTTCCAATCCCTTCAATTTTTGCTTCAGCGAAGCTTTCGTGAGATCTCCAACTTGATGCCTCTGTACAATGGTCTGGAAATACAATTCAAATAATGTATTTATCAATTGTTTACCATGCTCTATTATGGTTTTCCATTAACAATTATTATCTTAGCTTAGGCTCTTCTTTTTCTGGTGTTCTGTTGACCAATTTTTATGCTCTGATTTGGTTTAAAAAATTCGTACTTTTGGAAAAAAATCTTGATACACACAAATATATATACATTAAGATTGAATCCACTGTATTTTTCCTTGGAGGCTGGAGTTTTACGATGCTCCAAGAAGCTATGACAACATGGGTTTGATCGTTGGCGCCACTGACATCGTCGGAAACAGCTTGGTCAAAATCCTCCCTTTCTCCGACACCCCTGGCGGCCCATAATAATTTCTAAGTATATACTAGTGGATAATATATATGCATTTACTGTTGATGAATGGTGAGAATGGGTCACTGATTTTTTTGGTGCGGAGATGTGTGTGCTGCTTGGGTTTCTTGCAGAAGTTGGAATGAAATTTGTTGGAGTTGATAGCATAGAAGGAAGAAAAAAGAAAATAGGCGTGTGTGTATTGCAGGTTTAATTCGAAAGAGAGAAGAGGAAGAAGACGAGTGCATAAAGGTCAATTCACATGTTCAGTTTATAGAAGTTAGTGTGCTCTTTGGTCCGCAAACCATATGGGGGTTATGTGGTCATTTCTAAACGTTAGGGGGGTAAACTGCACACGGCCCTTTAGCACCATTGTTTTCCCACATTGGGTTTTCAGTTTGTTTTTTTTTTGGGGGGGGGAGGGGTATAGTGAAGTTTTCCCTATAATATATAAAATTTCCCCGCTAGCACCATTGTTTTCCCACATTGGGTATTTAGTTTTGTAAGGGTTTTTTAAGTTGATTCCTCTCACGTTTGCATCAAATGACGGAAGAGAGTTTTGGGTTTTAGCCTTTTATAGGGTATAATTGGCCTAATGTGGGTATTAGTCTTTGTTTTAGCTAGACAATATTCAAGGTGTATTTTGCATCTCAATTTTGATACCGTGTCCTTTTTTCCTCCTTCCACAACTTTTGTTTGCTTCTGATATTGAGTTAGCCCTGTTAATGGGAATTTGTGGTCCTGACGACAGAAAAGAGTCTAAAAGTAACTCAGAGTGGATGAGGTTGTTCAAACTCTGAAGTCTGTTTTGTTGCATAGAACTAACTTCTCTGATGCAGTTGGCATTTAAGATTGTTCAAGGTTTTCTTTTTTTCTTTTTTTAGATGGTAAGATTGTTCAAGCAATACGGTTTTGTTTTTGGGATCACATTGTTCAAACTTTAGGGTCTGTTCACTTTTTTATTGTATGGATTAGTTTATAATTTAAATTTATTAGTATATTTATATCCATATATGAGTGCCTTTATGAATTACTGAAAATCTTTTTTGTATGTTACTACTCTGGTCTTTGCACAACCTGAAAAAAGAAAAAAAAGATAGAATTGCCGTAATTGATGTTCAAAGATCCTAAAATTTTCATTCTCCTTTATTTATTTATTTAGGTTAAATCTTTCAAGGTGATGACTAGAAAATCTAACGTAGTTCCTTTTAACTTGAAATATGTTACTACTCTGGTCTTTGCACAACCTGAAAAAAGAAAAAAAAGATAGAATTGCCGTAATTGATGTTCAAAGATCCTAAAATTTTCATTCTCCTTTATTTATTTATTTAGGTTAAATCTTGCAAGGTGATGACTAGAAAATCTAACGTAGTTCCTTTTAACTTGAAACTGCTTATATTATCATATAGGATCCCCTCTCATGCTTGTACATAATTACATTAGTGTTTAAAAAGTATATTGTAACATTGCTATTGCAAATCTGCTTGTATGATGACTTTACTCATGGCTTGCCTGAAAAAGCTTCAATTTTAGTTAAAACTGGTTTGCTGTGTTAGTGCTTATCATTCTCTAAGTCAAATAAGATTTCATACTTGCAATAGTTTATTCTTTATCGGAAGAAAAATCATAAGTATTCTTTTTATTCACTTCTCCCTGTTGATGCTGTATCATTGGTTAATAACAACGCTTCCCATAATTTGTCATATTTATGTTGTTATTGTAGAACATTGTCAATATGGTGCAGACCTTGCAAAACAGTTGACAGCATCCCTGAAGAATGTTCGTTGGAGTTTTGGAAGCCTCAGAATATCTTTCTCGAGAAGAACTCCACAGGAGGTGTGCATATTTATAGTAATTTCTTTTATCTTAATGGAAATTGGGGGCTATTGTTTGTGCATTCTGTGATCAACAGGTATCTGATATCTTAGAGAAGGAATTTTATCATCCTAAAGTTTACATTTGGGATGGCAAAGGTATATTCAATTCTTATTATCATCTGAAGGATTTTTGGAGCGCATATTTCTGAATTTCTAAGTTCATACAATGTTTGCATAATTTATACTGGTTAGATCCAAATCCTCACATGGGGCATCTCGCTTGGGCCGATGCTTTCATAATCACAGCTGATTCAGTTAGTATGTTGAGTGAGGCTTGCAGTACTGGGTATGTTTGAACTAGTGATACTTCTTCAACATTTTTAATTTGATTTTCCTCCCAATTGAAATGTTAATAATTTATGCTGCAGAAAGCCTGTTTATGTTATTGGAGCAGAGCGATGTACATGGAAGTTTGCGGAGTTCCACAAATCTCTGCAGGAACGAGGAGTGGTGCGACCATTCACGGGTAAAGAAGATGTGAGTTCCATACAAAGTCCAAAGTTCTCTATTTATCTTGTAATGCAATTATAATAACTGCTGCACAATCAAATTATGCCATTGGTACTGCGGTGGTTGATGTTGAACAAAACCAATCTCTCCATTAAAATATCATATTGTGGTTTAATTGTGCAGATATCAGAAAGATGGAGCTATCCTCCACTGAATGACACTGCAGAGGCATCTTTCCGGGTGATTGAAGCACTTTCTGAGCATGGATGGAGATTGGAACCTTGATAAGTCGGTTCCACTTCAGGTCTATACGGTGTTTGAAACTACTCCCTTTGTCTCATTTTAAGTTTGTAAGGTGTGCTTGGTTCATTTGGCTTGGTTTTCACATAGTTGCTTGGTTTGGTGTTACCTGGCATTTGATTTCTTCATAATTTTTTCCCCTTTTTTTTCATTTTTCAGAAAAGAAAAGTTTGGTAGGGCAGCCTTGCATGCAAAATGGAAGTATATAACTCTCATATTACATTCCTATATATTTATATTGGCGAGGGGGATTAACACAATCAATAAGAAATGAATTGATATTTGTAAAACAAAATGGCGAGAAAACACAATAATTTTGTTTCTTTTCTATCTATACGAACAGTGGCGGACGCATAAATTTTGGTAAGAGGGGGCCAAACTATGTACAACAAAAATTGACTACAAAATTTATTTTATCACATTATTATAAAAGTTTTGCACGTATATGTTGTACTAAAATATTTATTTTTATAAGTATACAAATTAAACATCATTTTTAAATTTGCAAATAATATTTTCAGTCAATAGGCATTTACAAAACAAAAAGTACAAAAACAAAATTATAAATTTTTGTTATAATTTATACCAAATATAAGATCAAAAAACTAATAATAGATAAGTACTTTTCACATTGATTGTGGTTGTAACTAACATTAATTAAAGCCAAAATTGAAGGTGTCATTTTGGTCATAACCAAAATCACTATAATGAGTCCTATCGAATATTATTTTGAAACATAATCAAATATTAGAATGAGACGTAATTAATTTTAATTTTATAATTTGTTAACTCGATCACCATAATGGCCTATATAACCAAACACTATAATAATTCGTAACATCAATTTAAATCATAAATTATATATGATATATATCATGTATTATAGCATGGTTTTAATTCAAAGCTTTAAATAAATTGACAAAGTCAGGACATGAGTGGAGGAATTAACTCTTTTTATCATTTATAAATTAATAATAAATCCACATATAGTAGTTGAGGTTTTATAGATGGATGGAGGGGCGATGACCCCTTCTAGCCACCCCTGGATTCGCCAATGTCCACGAGAGAAATTACAAATTTATTTTCTTTTTTCTCGTTCTTATAGTATGCATTTTTGCTATGGAAGTAACGTTCAGACGAGCAAAATTCTCCATTAGAGTTGTCAACCTCATCAAATGGAGCCTAATTTGATATATAATCGCTTCTAATTGATATAGTGACTTTAGGTCATGTTTGTTTGGGTGGATATGAGCTTGGGATTGGACTAATAGTCCAATAAAATTACTAATCCAATGTTTGATTAAACAATTAAAGTACGGACTAATTATTTTAAACTTGACTATTAGTTAAGATAGGATACATAATCCAATGGATTTGTACCCCTAGGACTATTAGTCATGGGAATGCTAATCCAGTCCGCCCAAACAAACATGGCCTTAAGGTATTAGTGAATTTGATTAAAAAAAAGAAGGTATTAGTGATTGGTTGTGTATGGTGGGGTGCACAAGAAGCATTAGAGTGCAATTAATTAATTAATCATACATAACAGCTGGTTGGTTCGGGTAGAGTGCCGTTTGAACATTTCTGATTTTGCTTACCAACCGACCCGCTTCAACAAACTGCCCAACTCACACCACCCACCTTTTAATTTGTGCGTTTCGAATGAGCGCAGTATTTTGCATAACCCATCATATTGGAGTTAATTATTAGGTAATTCAGGTGTGCCATGTGGCATGATCTACATGGTGATTCAAATAACATTGCGGAAAATTTTATTGGTGAATATAATGACTTATCTTTGTTAAATATTTACGAGATAATGAATGACCAACTTAGTGTGGGTTGCGATTTTTTATTTAACAGGAGCACAACGTAAGAAATGTCACATGATACTCTCGAACTATTTAATTGTGCAATTTAGTCTTCAACAAATTTTATAGTCTAACTGAGGTTTCAGAACTTATAAAATAATAATAATAATAATAAAAGGAGCAGATATTTTTGAATTTTAAAAAGTTTATTTCTTGTTAAAACTATAGAAAATCATATGAAAATAATGAATTATTTATTTATTTTTTCAAAAAAAAAAATTAAAAATTCTATCAAACAAAGAAAATTGCATTTGTTTCACTCTTTTATTTCACTTTTTATGCAATTTAGTATTTAACAAATTTTATAAAGCAATTTTTTATTGTTAGATTTGATGGGCCATTTCACACAAAAAATAAACACTAAACTCATACCAAATTCCTTAAAATAACTATAAGTTCAGGTATCGATCCATAGGGACAAACAGGAAATTAAATTAATTTAATTGTTAAATTCCTAATTCAATTTTGATTGAAAAGATGATGATTCATAAACTAGTAATAATTGAAATAAATTAAGAGATTAAACTAAGCAATTAAAAGAAAAATTGGAATTTACTGATTTTGAGAAAAACCTAGGATAATAAATTCAACACTAGTTATGTTACGGTTTGAACTAAATAATACTTCGCAACTACAAGCTTAAAGCATTTATCAAGAAAATCAACACGTTCAATATATAGGCACGAACCATCTTAAGTAGTATGAGTCGTTCCCTCTAAACTATGGTAGCACCACGACTCGTCCTTCATAGTATGACTCATCTCATACCTTAAACATGAAAGAGTAGAAAACCATTATATGGAAAGCATTCAATAATTACAGAAAGCAGAATGCTCGAAGAAATAATGGAAAATTATATTAGAAAATTTCTTGAGAAACATACAATTATTCAAACGATTACATAAAAGAAAACCTATTTACATGACTAGGGTTTCATCAAAACCCTAGAAAAAGGAGCCTAGCCACTCAAGGAGGAGTAAGAAGAGGTGGAGAGAGAAGTGCTGCCTATTTTTTATTATTGTTTTCCTTTTCTTTCTTTTTGCTAGGTAGTTTACAATCATAGCTTCAGACATACCCGATATCCCCCAAGTTTTGTGGACTCGCTTTGGTAGACTTTGCAAAATCTAGGATCTTGTTGATGGTCAGCCATCGTTAGTCCCTCTCCCACCAGTTGTTCGCCAGAGAAGAATTCATCAGTCTTCACTAGCACAGATCACTCAACAATCACCTGTTTGTTCTCACCCACTCAGCTCACCAATAACTAACTCTCCAAGACCTGTCATGATGCAAAATCCATAAGAGGCTGCTGCTATGATGATAGCTTTTCAAAGAACCATGAATACCTTGAATCACAAAATTGCTACTCAGGATGAAACCATTGCTGAAATGCGATGCTTATCTGGGGCATCTGCATCTACTGTACCTCCAGTCCCAGCTGTCCAACCAAATCTTGATCCACCTCCACTAGTTGAAACCCTCAGGTCGCTGATCCTCAAGAGATATTAGCACAAGCTCTAGCTTTCAGGCCTCTGGAATAGCCCACAGGGAACTCCTTCCCTTCAATATCAATGATATTGATCCAGCTCTGATAAAAATCGCCAGGCTAGAGAAGGTGCTCAAGAAATCTCAAGGCTTTAATTCCATCCCAGATATTCAAGATGGTTATACCAAGGCCTTAGTTAGATTACCAGAAAAGTTCAAGATGCCTCACATCGATAGATTTGATGGCAGTGGAGATCCTATTGAACATGTTCATCTTCTTTTGGATGTTCTGAGACCAATGGGCTTGACTCGAACTCAAAAATTGTCATTGTTCAGAAAAACTCTGTCGAACATGGCAGCTATTTGGTACGCCAAATTGGAGGATTCTACCAAACGAAATTGGGAGGAACTGTCTAAGGGGTTTGTTTATCAATACTCATACAATAGCCAGATAAAAGTAACAATCAGCGAGCTGGAAGTAACCACGCAAAATCCCAAGGAACCCTTCATCGACTTTGTTACAAGATGGAGGGCAAAGGCAGCCAGAATGACGAACAGGCCCTCAGAAAAGGAACAAGTCCGGTTCATAGTTCAAAATCTTGAGTCAGATATGTTACAAAGAATGATATTAGCGCCACTGTCTACATTTGTTTCTTTGCACGAGTTAGGAGTCCAAATTTTTGGGACCAATTAGCATAATACAGAACAGGGGTATCACAAACATTTACTTAGTTCTTTCTTATCTTGGTGTGTTTATACTTTTATCCTCATTATTGTGCTTTAATCTTGGTCTAGGAATGCTTATGATGGAATGAGGATGCAAAAATGCATTTGAAAACACTTGGTAAAAAATGCTAGAAACAAAGGTCTCGCTCGGGCGCAACTTCATTCGCTCGAGCGAACATGAAAAATGTGAGTGGTCACTCGAGCGTGCACTTCTTCGCTCGAGAGGTCAGTAAACTCTGCAAAAGTGTTGGTTGCTTGATTTTTCCGCTCGATGCTCGCTCGACGCTCGCTTGAGCGTGAGACTCAGATCCTCGCTTGAGCACAACTCTTGTCGCTCGAGCATTCTATAAAACATATGAACTTTTAGGAGCATGCATTTCACGCTCGAGCGGACTTCTGGTCGCTCGAGCGGAAGTGCACACACTCAGAGTGGTCGTTCGAGCGTAGGAGCAGAATTCTAAAATTTCCAGATTCGCTCCCAGGCTCAAAACTCAATTTTAAACCTTCAGAACACATCATTTTGGGCCAAAACTTAGTAAAACATTAAGAAACTTATAGTACATGATGAATTACAAATTATTTCGCAAAATCAATCCCAAAAGCTATGCCAATTGTACTAAACAAAACTTGAAACTTAGATAACATAACTTGCATGTAATGTCATGAATTCCAACCTTCTAAAACATGATCAAATGAGCCATTAAGCTAAAAAACAAGTTGAATTCTTTTAACAAAACCAAGATATGAACATGCATGTGAGAATTCTTGTAAAACCAACTTCAAAACTTCATGATATGCACATGCATGCATGATATGGTCTATACTCTTTCATTCTAGCTCAATTCAACTTAATTCCCTTGTATTCATGATATAGATATCATAAATATACAATTCAAAGGTGGGATTCTTACCTCAACTTCTCAATTAAGCTCTATTTGATGGATTCACTAAGGTCCCAAGTCAATTTCCTTGAATTCTCTAATTATCCTTGCTTGTACTCGTATCCCTCATCGTACTCTCTCTCTCTCTCTCTTTCTCTCTCTCTCACGTTTGCTTGCTTAAGATGAGGAAATGAGAGTATGTAGTTGGGCGTCATAAATCATATAAGCTTTATCTAGGCTTGATTAATAAGGCTTGATTAACCTTGGCTTATTTTAACCAAATGAGCATTAATTAGTCTAATTTAATTCATTCCGAATTGAATTTCAATTAAACC